AAGAGTATTTGTCTTGTCAGATTTTGACCTTTTTAGATAAGATATGTTAGTTCTGGGGGCAAAAACCACCCCTAAAAATGCATTTGTATACCCAAGTTGTTGAAAAATGAGTTCATATTGAGAAACACGGCAGCTGAAACAGGATAAAGTGGTGATTTGTAGGATTCAGATTAAACTGGATTACACCTAAAGCTGAAGCTGATACAAATGATAGGTGTTTAGAGGTAATTGGGTATCTTCTTCATTCTGGTATCTTGTGTGATATCTGCTGGGTTTTATTCCAGCAGTTTATATATGTTAGGTTGTATTGGTGGGATGGGTGATTCATGGTATGGAAATAATAATATAGTTAGTTTGGGACATAATTCATCAGAGGATTTGGCATTGGCAGATTAAACGTACAACTTTTTTCTGGAATGGTAGCAAATGAAAATGTGTACTTTTTCTTTGCTTACACCGGGGAAAGTGTGTAAGAAGTCTGACAAAGGATGTAGTTTCTGTGATGTAGCTGCTGTAGACTAACTGCAGATCTTAAGCTGCATGTGTTACTAAGAATCTTAATGGTAAGAGTTATTGTAGGAAATTCAAAAAGGACATCACATTCTTATTTAATGCTTCTTTGAGAAACTATTCCCTTAATTCTGCCTTTGAAGTGCTATGTGTTTGGAGAGGGTAAACATTTCATACATGGAGTTTTCTTGGATCTTTTCCTATGTATTATCTTTTCCTATGTATTATTATTACTTTTAAGATCATGAAGACCTTTGTAAACCAATGACCAAGATATAACTCTGGGTTGTTTTTTTTTTGGAGGGGTTTAGGTGTCGGTCATAGGTGGAGACTGTCTGACTTGTTCCCATCGTGGATGACCTTGACAGCGAATCTACTCAGCCATGTCGTACGGTGCGGGTTTTGGGGATCCTAATCAACTAGCCCAACGCATAACTTCTAACATACAGAAGATCACGCAATGCTGTAAGTTACATTGATGCATGTTTTATACAAGACTTTAATAATGGTAGTGCCTCCCATTTGAGGGTAGTTTCTCAGATTCATTCATGGGAATTCACTCTTTGACTTCGCCTGCTCGTTTGGCAGGTTCACGGCACCCCACACAGCAGATCCAGTCCTTCGCATGTATGATTGAGTGTGATGTATCCTGGGGAACTATAGTGTCACTCTGTACTCACCAAACAAATAAATACATAAATAAGATAACTGCTGGTAACAAGCCAGTTTTGTCCTGGCCAGTTATGCGGCACCTTAAGGTGGTAGGTTGAGATTTTGCTGAGGAAGGGCTGCATCAAACGTTTGCTGGAGCTTGAATTGTTGAGCTGGGACAGAAGCTGTGGCCTTGCAGTTTGCCCTTGGAAGTACATATTGTATATGTAAATAAGATTGCACAAGTTTTAATGGACTTATGCTTAGATTCGTGCCACCTAATTTTTTTAGCCAGCTAACTGGATGTTCAAGTTAGCGGTAAGTTAGGCTGCTGGGGTTTTCAGTTCTTTTCCATTTCCCCCCATTTTCCATTACATATATATATATTTTCTTTGTGTGTGTATATATATATATATGTATATATAAAGCAAATACAACTTAATCTCACGAATTACACAGAGTATACTGTTCCTCAGAAGGGAGCTAGCCGTGAACAGCAAGCATATGGCTAGGTTTGGGCATGCAGGTTTTTAATGTTGTGCAGGATGTAGTGTGCGTGCAGAAATTGGTATTTTTTAATTAAAACTTCAAATGAATTCTGATCAGTTAAGTATGTCAGTTTTTATTAAAACTCTGATCTTTGTTTTGCAAGACAAGTTTTGTTCCCATGTGTAGTACCTGTCCAGCTTTCTGTTTGAAGGTGTGAGCTGCAGGAACTTCCAGGTCAAATGGGAAGAAGCCTGCAAGCGTAGGAAGCTATACAGCTAGTCAGCTGCTGAGCAGCTGTCTCTTAGACTGCAATTTATGATCGTGGTTAGGGAGGGAGGGGGAGAGAAACGGGAATCCACACACTAAATCCATGTTTTTCCTTCTAAGCAGTTGACTTGATTTTGCACTTCTGTCTAGAAATGCTTAGCACATTTGAAATCTTCTTGGTTAACCTGGAGTTGTGTAGATACCCTGGTTTCCAGAGAGAGATTAATAAAGGAAGAGAGTTTAATTTCAGATTGCCAAAGCATTTCAGGAGGTCTCTCAAAACTAATTCACACTTCTGCTAACATGCAAGCGAAATGTGAATACTACATTTAGATGAGATACAGGTTAGTTGAAAGCTGGCTCTTCCAGCTGGAAGCTGGCCCTTTAACTCCTGGAAGAAATACAGAACTTCCGGAATTAGACAACTCTCTGCTGCCCAGATTTCGTAATACGCCAGAGCTTTATAGGAAGCAGCATTGGTCAGAACAACAATCTTTACTGTAACATTTCTTCAAGATTGAATTGTGACACACACCCCCTCAAAGTAATAAATTCGATCTGGTTCTTGATTAACTTTTTTTAATAAGCCATACGTATACAAGATAAAATACATATATTGAATACCTCACATTTCATAATGCATCCACATGATGCTGCTGTGTTATTAATACTTGTGATCCTTACCCCCCTTCTTTCCTAGTTCATGTAGCCCACTGCTACTGATTGGCAAGCAATGCTCATCTCTGCTGGTTTAGCACACCAATAATTAAATCAGTTGCAAGATAGTGTTCTTTTTAGTTTGGCTTGTTCTGTGGTAATGGAGGGGACCTGTTTCAGGTAACAGCTGGGTCAGCTTAGCACCTTTTAACTTTAAAGAACAGATTTTATTGATCACTTGATCCAATCATGCAGTCAATTGTTATGTCGAAAATGTTAAGAGTTGTAAATTGCTTCTGCCTTGCCTGAAGTGCTGGTGAACTACAGCAGTAAGTGGCATCTGTACTGGGATGTTTGAGTTTCTTTGGAGGAAAGGGCGTTGGTGGGTCATTTTTAGGAACTTGAAGGTATTATTGAGCTAGCTAATGGGAAGCAGCATACCCTGCTGTCTGCAGTCTGAGCTCTCTTGGAACCTTAAGCCAGGAGGGCACCTATATGTGTTTGGGATCCCAAACCTCAGAGTGTTCTGTGAAAAGAAGGTTCTTTCAGCTGTTCTCTGAACAAGGATCTGTGCTTTGTTTTATGTTTCCAGCATTTCTGCTGAAATAAGTGATTATAACACCATTTAGCAGCATCTAGAGAATGGAGCCTACTTTCCTCAGCCTGAAACTCATGTTTTCCTTATCAGTGACATCTCTGAGCTGAGATTTAGGGAACTGGTCTGTGGAGTGTTTTTTCCTGCCTTTTGTTATGAAAACTGTTCCACTGAGCAGCTGTAATTGCAAAACTCGGGGCTCTTCTTGACATCTGATACAGAGTGGCAAGCCTCAGGCAGGAGCGGGAGAGTTAGGCTCTCAGACCCACTCCTAGCAGCATTTTGGGGGATCCATGTGACTCTTTGAGCGGTGCTGCAGAACCCGGGGAGCCTGAATCACATGTGCTTGAATGAGCTGCAGTGTTGTCTGCTGAGCCTCGGTGAGGTCAGCGATGCCTGCGAGCCATGTCTCGATGGGTTGGGTTTGGGTCTGTGTTAACAGCGATGAGAAGCAGATCTGCAAACAGCTGGAGAAACTTCAAATTTAAATAATAAACCCAAAGAAGTCTATAATGAGCTTTGGCACCTCTTCGGCTTAGGAAGCTGCTAAATTTCTGTGTTACTAGAACACAACTTATGATTAAGGTTTGAAAGTCTGTCTGTCTGGCATCTGATCCAAAGTACCTGTAATTCTCATTCCAGGCCTATCTTACATCTGATTATAAAAATGTAGATGACACACATTGTGTTGGACTTTTGAAATATGAATTTAAAAGTGGTTGAAGTTTGTCCCTAACTTTCTGAATACGAAGAACAGGAATATGGAGAACACAATATAAGGAATGATGCAGGGTGTAGAGATCCAACCTGTCTGGGCTTTGCAGATGGAGAACCTCTTATCATGGTGTTTTAATCAGTGTTTACTGAAGGAGCAATAGTTCCAGAACTGGGTTTCATAGGTTTCACTCTCATAGCAGCTGCTATTAACTTGAGAGAAATCTCAATGCTTTCCTTCAATATTTCCTTGAAATATTTCCTGTTGATCACTTGTTTATAGCAATTGAATAGACAAGGAATGACTGTGTTGCACAGAAATGAGATGAGCTAGCAAAAAAATATTTCTTTGTGATAAAAGAAGTCTTGCCTGCTTAAAAATCTGTATTTCTACCAGGCATATTCATTTACCATGCTAGGGACATGCCTGGTAGGATGAGAGCATTGAGTCCATATTGTGATGTCCCCACCTTCCCCCCCCCCTTGAAGATCTCGTAGCAAATTGTACAAGAGGAAATGTGATTTTTTCAACAAATGGAAAGATGGAAGTACAATAAGTAAAATTAACACAAAGCCTAATTTAAAAGCTTTAAAGTATGTTAATGTTAGACTTTTTGTAACTGTGAGGATGAGAGGGAACAGTTCTTTGAAATCTGACAGTTTTCTACATTTTAAAGAATTTATTCCCTGTGTGTAGCAAAAAGAGGGCAAGCATTTTGTTTAAAAATATATTCCCAAGAGGGAGCAAAATGGAATTTGCATTCACCTACAGGGACAACTTCACAGTTATAAGAGTAGGAAGGGTATGGTTAGAGGAGTCAGGGCCTCTTCTACTCAGCTAGAAGGACTTGACTCATGCCTCTGACAGGAACTGTGCAAGAAGAAGTAACCAGTCGTGGTTTTTCTGCCCCCCACATACTTCTTCTGAAGTCTCTCTCCCATGTGTGGGTCATTGAGGAAGCAGGCTCGTGTGTCTTTGTTGTGCTTTGCCCCTGGTATTTTCTTTGTAGCTACAGAATATGTCACTCAGTGCAATCCCTGAAGAAAAGCCAGAATGATACCGGCTAGATAGAGAACTATCATGTCTCCACTGGCATTTTAAGCTGGGCTTTGGGCACTGTTGGGCACTGTTTAGAAGCAGTTTAGAATGCTGCCTTTTGCCTGGGAACACAGAACAAAGCTTGGCATCGATAAAGTACACACAGTCTTTGAGTTTTAGAGAATTTCTGGTTTGCAAACTGTAATCAAACAGTTATAGAACCTACACGAACTGAAGTGAGGCATTCATATTCCCTCCCTACCTCTCCCTTCCCAACTCCTCCAGCTTGTAAAGGTCAGGGCAAGATTTTGTGCAGTGGTAGTTGCAAAGTCAGGAAGAATGGCATAATCTACCCTTGCTCAGTATTGGCAAGGTCAGTGATAGAGTGTTTGGCTTGTTCGTGCACACTGAAAATCAGCCCGGCTGGGGAAACATACGCTCTGCATACTGCAAGGTAATTAAAGTAAAATAAAATTCAGTAGCCATAATCCACGTATGGCTAGAGGGAGTCTGCCTGGCTTTGGGAGATTCTTTCTCATAAGGACTCTTGCTTTCTGCTGACTTCCCTTTCTGTTTGGTGAGGTTGCACAAACAGCAATTCATATGGAGCACATTCCCAGCAGGTCAGCTTTAGCCAGCACAGATCCCTCTCTCATGTGATACCTCTCCTGTGACAAAAAGTTTGTCCAATTTCTGTTGCAACCCAAGTTTTTTATAAGCCAGCATTTCCACTGAATGTTGTTAAAATGGGAGTTGAATTGCATCAATCATATGACTTTCACTTTATGTAACTGTAGAAAATTATAGATACGGATTAAACCCTGGAGAATGTTAGAGTTCTGATATATGCCTTTTTGTTGTGGTGGAAGCCCAGTAGGTAGCTAAAAGGTTCAGCTAAAACAGGCTGAAACATTCGTGAGAACTGTGTCTGCCACTATGTAACACCAACAGATTTGCATGAATATTCTTTCGGTAAGGAAGGATACAGATGAGCAAGTGAAAAGTAAATGAAATCGTTGAGGCGTTGAAATCGGAGCCTATATGAAAACAAAA